ACGCATTGGTGGTGCCTGAGGGCAGCTTACCCAACCCAGCTCCGCCCAGACTCTCTCCTAGACTAGCCCTCACTGAAGGGGAGAAAATGACACACTGGACGTCCCAGCACCACCACCATCTGAGGCACTAGAGTTCTCTCTACAGGAACAAGAGCTGATACAAGACATAAAATAACAGCATAGCCTATTCCTCCAAGCAAGCGGCCACCTACTGACAGGGAGAGCATCCTGCACCCTTTTCACGACACCTACTGACTCATTATACAGGAAGTGGTCGATCTCACCCACGACACCACCTACCGGTCGGAAACTAAACAAGGCGTGTGAATACCCAACAAAAACCTAAAGAAAAGAAACACAACTGATCGACATGGGAAGAAATCAGTGAAGGAACTCAGGAAATATGAAGACCAAATGGAAAACACACCCCCAAAGAGGAGCACCAGCCCCTAGACACGGAACCCACCAAAATCAGCAACCAAATTACAGAAGAGGAATTTCGTATGGGATCATAAGAACACTCACTGACCTTCAAGAACAATTCAATAACAACACAAAGAACCACAAAAAGCCTCCAGGATCTGGAAAAAGGTTCCTAAAAGAAATAGAAGCATAGAAGAAAAGTTTAACCAAAGTCCTGGAAATGAAGATCAATTCAGAACTACAAAATACAGTGTAAAGTCTCAAAACAGGGTAGATCAAACAGAAGAAAGAATCTCAGAGAATAAGTAACAAATCCATTAAATAAACTCAGTCACAGAAATAGAGCAGAGAAACAGAGTAAAAGAGCAAGGCTACAAGAATGGGATTATGTGAAGAAACCTAATGTGAGGTCATAGGGTACCAGAAGGGAAGAGACAACACTCACGGTTGACAGCTATTTTAGATAAATAGGAAATTCCCAGGCCTTGCTCAAAATCCTCGAATCACAGTTCAAGAAGCTCAGAGGACCCCTGGGGATTCAATGCAAACAGAAAGACGTCACGACATGCACTCATCAGACTGACCAAAATATCAACTAAGAGGCCTTCTAAGAGCTTAAGACAAAAGAAGCAAGTGACATAGAAGGGAAAGCCAATTGCAATAACATCCAGACTTCTCTATGAGACTTTACAAGCAAGGAGAGCTGGGCCCCATTCTCACTCTTTTGAAATAAACAATTCCCAGCCAGAATCCTATTCCCTGCAAAACTAAGCTTCGATATGAAGGAGAAATAAAGACATTTCAGAACAGCAAAAGCTTCAGAGAATTCACCAAGACAAGACCAGCACTACAAAAGACTCAAAACAGCGTTATCACGGGAACATGATAAATAACCCACAATATAAAAACACCAAACCCAAAGATTAAAGGCAGATATTACAATGGCTCAAGAATAAATCATAGCAACAACATCAACCCAACAAAATGAACAGTAATCTACCTTACCTATCAGTTCTCTCATAAATGTGATGGCTTAAACTTCTCCACTCAAGAGAATAGGCTGGTGAATGGATAAGAAATACAGGAAAGTATATGCTGTCTTCAGCAAACACATCTAACCTGCAAGGATGCATATAGATAAAGTAAAGGGTGGGATCAGTATTCCAGGCAAGTGAAGCCAAAAGAAGGCTGGGTGCAGTTCTAATTCAGACGATTTAATTTTAAACCAATAAAATGTGAAAGACAAGAGGGTCATTAATAATGGTGAAGGCCACAGTTCAACAAGAGAGATAACAATCTTAAATATATATGCAACCCATTAGTGCACCCAGTTTCATAAAGCAAACTTACTGGATCTAAGCAAATGGATTAATAGCAACTCCAATAATACCGGCGGATTTCACACCCCACTGACGGCACAAGACAGATCCTCCAAACAGAAATTAATAAGAAATAATGGACTTAAACAAAACTTCTGAACAATTGATCTGACTGACATCTACGAATTCTACCCCAAATCCCTGAATATACGTTTCTTCTCATCAGCTCACCGACATTCTCTAAGATTGACCATATCCTAGGACACAAAGGGTAATCTCAAGAAATTTAAAAAATAGAAACGTACCCATGTTATCTTCTAGATCAATGGATAAGGGTAGAAATCAGACCTAACAGAAATCACATTTTACACAAAACTGAATTAACACCTCCTACTAATGATATTCATTAGCAAATAGATGAGAATCAAGTGGAAATAAAAAAATTCTATGAAGTAAAGTACAATGGAGAGACAAGTATCAAACTCCTCTGGACACAGTAAAGCAGTTCTGAGAGAAGTTTATCTGTCCATAATGCCTATAACCAAAAGTCAAAAAGATACAAATAGAATCTAAGAACGGACTCAAAGGCTGGAAAAAGAAGAGAGACCAGCCCCAACCCAGCAGAAGAGTGAAATCAACAAGTAAATCAGAACTAAATGAATTGAAACAGGGAAGCGTAATTCAGGAGATACAAAACAAAGTTGTTCTTTGAAAAAATACAAAATTGACATGCCACTGCTAAGTAACGAAAGCCAGAAAAGAGAAATCTCTAAATAGCTTCAGCGGAACAAAAAAGGAGGTATCACAACTCTCCAAAGAGATATCAAGATATAATTATGAGTTATACAAGATATATTCACACAAACTGGAAAATTGGAGAAATGGATAAATTTCTAAACCACACAGCCTCTAGGCTCAGAATCTCGGAAGGAAATAGCAGTGGATGTAAACAGATGGAAATCCATTCCATGTTCGTGGATCGGCAGACTCAACATCATTAAAATGTCTATACTACCCACACTGATTTACAGATTCAATGCAATACCTATTAAAATCCCATCAGCATTCTTTACAGATATAGAAAAAATAATTTTATGCTTTTTATGGAACCAAAGAAGATCCCGAATATCAAGAGCAATTCTAGGCAACAAAAACAAAATGGGACATATTAATATGCCAGATATCAAACTATACTACAAAGCTATAGCAATTAAAACAATTTGGTATTGGCACAAAAATAGGATTATTGACCAGTGGAACAGATGTGAGAATCCAGATATAAAACCATCCTCATATAGCCATCTAATCTTTGGCAAAGCAGACAAAAACATACGCTGGGGAAAAGAATCCCTTTTCAATAAATGGTGCTGGGAAAACTGGATAGCCACTTGTAGAAGGCTAAAGCAGGACCCACACCTTTCACCTCTCACAAAAATCAACTCACGCTGGAAACTCAGACTTGTGGGGGGAGGGGGAAAGGGCATTTATTGAAACCTTAAATACCCCCATAATATGTCGAAATAAAATAAAATAAAATAAAACAGTGTGCTAAAAAAAAATTATAACTTACAATTGCCTTGTGTTTTTTTTTTTCTTAGAAAGATTAAAGAAGATTATTCATTCCTTTTCTACATTGATTTTAACTAGACTTAAGTGAGGGGTTAAATGTAGTTTCAGTTTTCCACATCCCAACATGCTTGAAGCAAAAAAAAAAAAAAAAAAATTGGAACATTTTAATGACTAACTGTTGTTTAACCACTACCTAATTCTTGGAATTTATTACACCTGTGATATTATTACAATTCTAGTTTTCAAACTGAGAAAGCACTTATATTAAAAAGCAGTGGTTCTCCCCCCATTGGGCATTACACTTAATATATAAGGTAGAGAAGAGACAAGTCTAATAGATAAGGTAATTTATCTTAGTTTCAATTGTATCCTGATATTGAATAACTAGTAAAATATGAGCTTATTTTTGTGGTTACTGCATTAAAAAATACATTTCTTAAGCGCTTATTTTTCATTCTATTTTCATTCCCCTTTTTTCTCTCAGCTCTTCCTACCTATGATTTTCTGCATATCTAATATCATTGTTGCAGAGGAAGAAGGACATCCTAGACATGCTCACCAGCAAGGGGGTATTGCTTTGCATAATCAGATTGTGATGGGGCAGGCACCTGAGGGGACTCACAGAACTGCCTGAATATTTTTATATGTTTGAAGGAAAAACAAGGACGTCAGATGCTTCAGGAGCTGCCAGCTATCAATGTCAGTTTTAACATTAGGTCACTACATTTCCTTCCATGATGTCACATCTTTGCAAAAGTTGGTTTTGGGTGATTGCTGTGACAGATGTGAGAAAAAAAGTGGTATATCTAATTCCAAGGTTTTAGATATTGTTAGTGGCCAGTTGATACGTTCACATACCACTAGTAAAAAAACTGTGGTTATTTAAGAATACAATTAAAATATGATTTTTTCTTTCGATTTGTACCTATTATTTTTTGTCAAACTGAATGTACATATTATTTTTTAATCAGCTAATACGTTGTTAGGACATAAATACTTATTAAGGTAGTTGGACCTGACTAGTTCATAAACAGAACTGTTAAGTATTTCTTATTGCCTATGGGCACTGTGATAAAATTACTAAGACATTGAGGGTACTGTGCACTGAGAATGTTCAGGAACCTCTGGACTAAACTATTCACAGAAGTGAGCTGCTTTATTCTTTTCAAACATTATAAAGATCACATCCAAGTGTGAACCACGAATTTAAAGAATTGATATTAAAACCTGAAAAGAGGCCATTTCGTGGACGCCGGGTGAGAGAGGGCATCGGTGCGAGTGGCCGGAGCGGAGCGGGACGGTCCATCGGAGCGTGAGGGCTCGAGCCTCCGCACTTAAACCTTGGATTTCGAAACGCATCGTGATTCCTGTCCATTGGACTGTAAGGTTTATGTAGGTAATCTTGGAAACAATGGCAACAAGACTGAATTGGAACGGGCTTTTGGCTATTCCGGACCACTCCGAAGTGTGTGGGTGGCTAGAAACCCTCCCGGCTTTGCATTTGCTGAATTTGAAGATCCCCGAGATGCAGCTGATGCAGTCCGCGAGCTAGATGGAAGAACACTATGTGGTTGCCGTGTAAGAGTGGAACTGTCTAATGGTGAGAAAAGAAGTCGAAATCGTGGCCCGCCTCCCTCTTGGGGTCGTCGCCCTCGAGACGGTTATCGTAGGAGGAGTCCTCCACCTCGCCGCAGATCTCCAAGAAGGAGAAGCTTCTCCCGGAGCCGGAGCAGGTCCCTTTCTAGAGATAGGAGAAGAGAGAGATCACCGTCTCGGGAGAGAAATCATAAGCCCTCCCGATCCTTCTCTAGGTCTCGAAGCCGATCTAGGTCAAATGAAAGAAAATAGAAGATCAGTTTGCAAGAGAAGTGGTGTACAGGAAATGACTTCATTTGACAGGAGTATGTACAGAAAATTCAAGTTTTGTTTGAGACTTCATAAGCTTGGTGCATTTTTAAGATGTTTTAGCTGTTCAAATTTATTTGTCTCTTGGAACAGTGACACAAAAGCTCTAATTCTCTATGGTTTGAAATGGATCATATGAGGCATGTAATACCAAGAATTGTTACTTTACAATGTTCCCTTAAGCAAAATTGAATTTGCTTTTTAGTTTTGCATAAGCTAATAAACCTCTAAATTCTGCCCAGTTGAAGTTTGGATTTTTTTAAAATACAGAAACAAAATTGGCAAAAATTGAACTATGATTTCCCTTTTTATCCACATCTGGGATATAGTATACAGCTCTAGTTGAACACGCAGTCTTTAAAAGCTGCTGTGAAACAAGCCAACAGGTAGAAATAAAAGCTGCACTATTTATACTAAATTAGAGGTTTTTGAAAAATCTATCTAGTTTTCACCCTGGGCAGAGGTTGCCTAATTGGTATAGTTAGAATCTGGTAAATTCCAAGAAACTTTTTTCGTTTGCTTTAGATCATAAGTTCCTTATGTGATTGCTATATATGAATACACAGCTGTTTGTAATGTTCTTTATTTGGAAATTTGAGATAATCAAAATACCAATGTCCTGCCAGTTTAAGGGTACATTGTAGAGCTGAACTTTGAGATACTGTGCAAGATTTTTTTTTTCCATGCTGTCATTTGTAATATGTTTTGTGAGAATCCTTGGGATTAAAGTTTTGGTTACAATTGTTGTTAAAAAAAAAAAAAAAACCTGAAAAGAATGAATCAGAAAGAAAAGAAACGAGCTTGGGTTTGAATCCTGCCTCTCCCACAAACTGGTTGAGTTTAAGTGACTTTTCTGAGCCTTAGTTTTCTCCTCCCATGTGTGCATTGGAGGAGATAATATCTTAGCATCTAAGATCCTTCCAGGCACTTGTAAATGCACAGTAAATGGTAGCAACTATCAGGCATGACCCATATAAACATTTCCTCCCAGGAGACGATGGGCCTTAATTTGGGAGCCCAATGCAAAATGAAAATGTAAGGATCTTTGTTCAAAAATTATTCAGTATTTCAAGATGATGACAGCAGAGCATTAACCAGGTATGGGTCCCTGTGTGACGCTGCCCTTGCTCTTGCCCTTTCGAATGGAGTTTTATCAGGGTTTTCCAGGTCAAATGAATCTTTCCTCCTGAATCAAACCTTTTCACCCCTAATATCTGTGCCAAATAATTAGCAGCTCACCAACTATTATGCTATTCACCAGTTGACTGTGGCAATATGTAATATAACCATTCACTAATAGCTGCACGGTGACATTCTATTTCCCAAGAAGATGGTCAGGTCCTTGTGGGCAAAGAGCTGTAAATAGTGCTTCACTTATTTTCCATGCCACAGCCTCCAGACACCACTGGCATAAATTATAATACATGCTCAATAAATGCCTGTTGACTGAAGAACTGATGGGAGGATGGTGTAGCTACACAGTTGTCAGCCTCTTCCTCCCATAATCTCCAGGTTGCAAAGGCTGTGAGTGGTAGAGGAATGAAAGCATTCCAAGCAACCTTTGCACATAGCATACTAAAGAAACTAAGAGGACACCATGAGAGTGAGCACGAGAGAGCATCATTGTCTCTCTTTCTCTCATTTTCTTCTATTTATGGTTTTTAAAATTAATAAACTTTATTTTTTGGAGCAGTTTTAGGTCCACAGCAAAGTGAAACAGAAAGTAGAGTTCCCATATACCTCCCACATATGTACAGACTTCCCTGCTATCAACATTCCCCAACACAGTGGTACATTTTTTACAATCCATGAACTTACACTGACATATCATATCACTCAAAGTCTGTAGCTTACCTTAGGATTCACTCTTGGTGCTGTATGTTCTATGGGTTTTGATAGATGTATAATGACATGTATCCACCATTGTTGTATCAGATGGGATAGTTTCATTGCCCTAAAAATCCTCTGTGCTCTGCCTATTCATCCCTCCCTCATATCTAATCTCTGAAAATGACTAACCTTTTTACTATCTCCATAGTTTTTCCTTTTCCAGAATGTCATATGCTTGGAATAATATACTACATAGGCTTTCAGATTGGTATCTTTCACTTAGTAATATACATTTAAGTTTCCTGAATGTCTTTTCATAGCTTGGTAGTGCATTTACTGTTAATGCTGAACAATGTTCCGTTGTCTAGGTGTTCTAAATTTCATTTATTCCTTCACCTACTGCAAGACATCTTGGTTGCTTCCAAGTTTGGGAAATTATGAACAAAACTGCTGTGCAAGTTTGTGTGTAGACATAAGTTTTCAATTCCTTTGGGTAAATATCAAGGAGCACAACTGCTGGATCTTATGGTGAAAGTATGTTTAGTTTTGAAAGAAACTGCAAAACTGTCTTTCAAAGTGTCTGCACCATTCTGCATTTCCACCAATAATGATTGAGAGTTCCTGTTGCCCCAGATCCTCACCAGCATTTGAAGTTGCCAGTGTTCTGGATTTTGGGCATTCTAATAGATATGTAGTGGTGTCTCATTGTTGTTTTAATTTGCATTTCCCTGATGACATATGATGTGGAGCATCTTTTCATATGCTTAATGGCCATCATTATATCTTATTTTATGAGATACCTGTAAAGATCTTTGTTCCATTTTTTAGTTGAATTCTTTGTTCTTTAATTGTTGAGTTTTAAGAGTTCTTTATATATTTTGGGTAACAGTCCTTTATCAGATATGTCTTTTGCAAATATTTTCTTCCAGTTTATGGCTTGTATTCTCATTTTCTTGAAATATCTTCTGTGAAGCAGAATTATTAAATTTGAATGAAGTCCAGCTTATCAATTATTTATTTCATGGATTACGCCTCTGATATTGTATATAAAAAGTCATCACCCAAAGTCATCTAGGTTTTCTCCTATGTTATATTATAGGCATTTTATAATTTTGTTTTACATTTAGGTCTATGATCCATTTTGAGTTAATTTTTGTCAAGGTTTAAGGTCTTAAAGTAGACTGATTTGTTTGCATGTGGATGTCCAGTGGTTCAAGCACCATTAGTTGAAAAGATTACCTTGGCTCCATTGTCAAAGATCAGTTGACTATATTTATGTGGGTTTATTTCTGTGTCTCCATTCTGTTTTCATTGATTTATTCGTCTGTTCTTTTACCAATACCATGATGTCTTGATTACTGTTGTTTTATGAGTCTTGAAGTTAGGTAGTTCAGTCCTCTCACTTTGTTCTTCTTCAATATTGATATGACTATTCTGGGTCTTTTGTCTCTCTGTATAAACTTTAGAATTAGTTTTTTGATATCCACAAAATAACTTGCTGGAATTTTGATCAGAATTACAATTAATCTATGCATCAAGTTGGGGAGGATTGACATTTTGATAATATTGATTCTTCTTATCCATTAACATGGAACATCTCTCTATTTAGTTCTTTTGATGTCTTTCATCAGATTTTTGTAGTATTCCTCATATAGATGTTGTACATATTTTATTAGATTTATAGCTAAGTAGTCATTTTGGGGTGGCTAATGTAAATGGTAGTGTTTTTAATTTCAAATTCTACTTGTTCATCACTAATATATAGACAAGTGATTGAGTTTTATAACTTTATATCCTAAAAACTTGCTATAATCGCATATTGGTTCTAGGAGTTTTTTATTGATTCTTTTGGATATTCTACATAGACCATGACATCTGCAAACAAAGACAGTTTTACTTCTTCTTTCCTAATTGTATACCTTTAATTTTATTTTCTTATTGTATTAGTTAGGACTTGCAGTATAATCTGAAAAAGGAGTGGCAAAAGGGGACATTCTTGCCTTGTGAGAAAGGTTCTAGGTTGTCACCATTAAGTATGATGTAGGTTTTTTGTAGACACTGTCTATCAAGTTGCAGAAATTCCTCTCTATTCCTTCTTTACTAAGAGTTTTATTGGAATAAGACAAGAAGATATGTTTTTATTTTTTTCATTTTTCTCATGAGTATACCGGAAAGTAGAATTGGTGAGTCATATGGAGATTCTATGATTAACATTCTGAGGGACTTTCAAACTGTGTGCTGCACCATTTAAATCACACCAGCAATGTATGAGGATTCCAATTTCCTCACGTCCTTGAAAATATTTGTTAATGTTTCCTATATTTTTATTTTAGCCAACCTATTGGGCACAGTTTTCTCATTGAGGATTGGATTTGCATTTCCCTAATGAATAATCAATAATGAAGTTGAAAATCATTCCATGTGTTTATTGGCTATTTTTACATCTTTGGAGAAATGTATATGCAAATCTTTCCCCCATTTTTAAAAATTGGTGTGTCTTTTTATTGTTGAGTTGTAAGAGTTCTTTATATATTCTGGACACAAGCCCCTTATCAGATAAATGATTTGCAAATATTTTCTCCCATTCTGTGGGTAATTTTTTTCAGTTTCTTGGTGGTATCTTTTTTATTTTGATGAAGTTCAATTTAGTTTCTTTAGTTGCTTGTGCTTTTGGTGTCATATCTAGGTAACCATTGCCTAACTCAAGGTTATAAATATTACTCTTGGGTTTCTACTCTTGTGTCTTACATTTAGGTCTATGGTCCATTTCGTATTAATTTTTGTATATGGTATGTTGTAGGAGTTCAACTTTATTTTTTTGCATGTGGATATCCAGTTGTCCCAACACCTTTTGTTGAAAAGACTATTCTTTTACCCATTAAAATTTCTTGGCACGCTTGTTAAAAATTAATTGACTATAAATATTTCTTTCTAGGTTCTCAATGTGATTCTACTGATTTTTATGTCTACTTTTATGCCATGCTGTTGTGATTATTATAGTTTTGTAGAGTATTTTGAAATTGGGAAATGTAAGTCCTCCAACTTTGTTCTTTTTAAAGATTGTTTTGGGTATTCTGAGTCCTTTGTATTTCCATATGGATTTAGTATAAGCTTATCAATTTCTACCCAAAAGAGGTGGCTAGGATTTTGATGGGGATTATATTGACCCTACAGATCAATTTGGAAAGTATTGCTATCTTAGCAATGTTACATCTTCCAATACATGAAAATGGAGTGCCTTTTTATCTATTTAAGTCTGTTTTAATTCTAATCAATGATGCTTTTTAGTTTTCAACATACAAGTCTTGAACTTGTACACTTATTTGGTTAAATTAATTCTTCATTATTTTATTCTTTTTAATGCTATTAGAAACAGAATTGTTTTCTTAATTTAAAGTGTGTCTCTTGTAAACAAAATAAAATTGGATTATGTTATTTCTTCTGCCAGTCTCTGACTTGGAGGGTTTCATTTACATTTAATATAACTGCTGATAAGGCAAGATCAATGTCTGCTATTTTGCTATTTGTTTTCTATATTTTATGTGGGTTTTGTTCCTGTACTCCTCCATTACTACCTTTTACATATTAATATTTTATTTTCTATTGTGCCATTTTAATTTCTTTTTTATTCCCTTTACTATGTATTTTTTGAGCTATTTTTGAGTGATTAATAACTTGATAACTTGCCAGGCATGGTTTCTCATGCCTATAATTCCAGTACTTTGGGAGGCCAAAGTGGGAGGATCACTTGAGGCCAGCAGTTTGAGACCAGCCTGGGCAACATAGCAAGACCCTGTATCTCTACAAAATTTTTTTTAAAAAATTAGCCATCAAAATTTTTTTAAAAAAATTAGCCAGGTGTCATGGTGCACACCTGTAGTCCTAGCTATTCTGGAGGCTGAGGCAGG